CCGTCGTCGTCGTGGTAGTGGTAGTGGTAGTGGTAGTGGTAGTGGTAGTGGTAGTGGTAGTGCTAGTGGTAGTGCTAGTGCTAGTGCTAGTGCTAGTGCTAGTGCTAGTGCTAGTGCTAGTGGTAGTGGTAGTGGTAGTGGTAGTCGTAGTGGTAGTGGTGGTGGTAGTAGTAGTAGTAGTAGGACTAGCTGTAGTAGTAGTAGTAGTAGTAGTAGTAGCAGTAGTGGGTAGCAGTAGTAGTCGTCGTGGTGGTGGTAGTAGTCGTCGTAGCATCAGCATCAACTTCCAAAGCAGCAACCGCAATTGCTTCGGCAACGGTAGAGATGTCCTGAATCCTGTGAATGTCATGCGCGTGCCTATTGCCACGATGTTTTATTCCCTTCACGGCATGTACAAATGTTGCAGAGGTCACTGTGAACCGTGGCACTGTTTGGACCTTTCAGAATGTTGTTTTGTCCTGGTGTGTTCCAACAGAAGGACGATGGCGAGCCAGGAGGCGTGTTGCAAGACATTGGGCGCGGCAAGCGAACGAAAAGACTTGGCGTATAAGCCCTTGATAGGAAATACTAGCTACGGCCTCCAGCACACCCCACAACCTCAACCAAAAAACAAAAGCTGGAAGGGTATGACTTTCGTCGGGATGCCTCGGCCGCCACTGCGCGAGCCGGAGGGGCTGAACTCGCCGAAGGTCTGCCATCAGATTGACAGTAACCACATTCCCAAATTTCCTTCTCAGACCGGAATTTTAGTATGTAAGCACTCACCAGATATTTTGTAAGTACTATCATAGCAAGGGCGGCTGTCGTCGTTGTTGTAACTATGTCTCCGCAAAACTATAACCAATGAGTCCTGATGCCTCGAACAGCCTTGATTTATATTGCACACCATGCAAACGGGAATGACGACAACGGTCCAACAGCAGTCGTCGTAGTTATAACAGTGGTAGCACTGGTAGTAGTACTGGTAGTAGTAGTAGAAGAAGAGGCAGTAGTTGTAGTAGCAGCAGTAGTGGTAGCAGTAGCAGTAG